CGGGTGTCAAATCTTGTCAAAATAGGAGAAGCGCTACCTTCCCCTATTAAAATATACGAAGTTTGACCCATTGCGTACCGCGTGCTGCACATGGTGCAGCACGCCAATTTGCCTCTGTGTGGCCGCGTGCTGCACATGGTGAAGCACGGGTTTTCAAACGGGTATTTTCGACATTTTCTCGTGCTCCAATTATATAGGAGTGAAGATCTGAATCCGGAGAACAACATGCAGACGTGGGACTGTGCAATGCGAACGAATTCCTAAATTACTGGTGCAACTCTCATCGGTGCTGCCCTCTTCAACGCTAACTATGTCTCTCTCCTGGACGGCCAGAAACCCGCGGCGAGTGACTAGCTAGTCGGTGGCTGTATCGCGCCGCTAGCGCAGATGCTAGATCGTGGGGGTATATCTCGCTGCGAACTGCGTGACAGCTCGCACCTTTAGGAGGCCCGCTTGTCTAGCCATTAGATGAATGATATGTATGATTCTCCCTCTTCGACCTTCAACCTTATCGTGGAATCCTCTTAATTTTAATTCAGGTCTCTCCAAGAGATCTCGGAGAAGGTTATGTCTGTCAGATTGGGACTTTTTCTAAATGAAAACGTTTTGTTTTTAACTTGGAAAAGTAGGTTAGGAGGTCGTCTCTAGCATATTCAAGATAGACTCAACAGAGAGATTCATTGTCAAGTAGATGCAGATATTACTCAGTTTAAATTAAATGTACAATGAAAACAAAAACGAAATTACTTCGCAAAGCCCGCCAAAGCAGGTGAGTGAAAGAAGGGACAAAATAATCAAACCACAACATCGATTGAAACGCCCAATATCTTACCAAATTAAAATGGTCTTACATTTTGATTTCGTTGAGATAGTACAGTTATGAGTAGATTAGGAGTATCTATAGTTCGATAACAGTGCCACAAAATCAAAAAAGGAAAAGTTTAAAAAAAGTAAAACTTAAAGCAAGGAAATCAGAAAAATGAAACGCTAACTTTCTTTCCGCTTTCCAAAGCAACATCGTAAGAAACTCTGCTACGTCACGAGATCTCTTCGAGAAGGACGAAGAATCCACCACGAAAGTGATCCCTCTCAGTGATGCGCGCTCCTGCAAGACAAAAACTTTTCAATTAGACAGTACATGAAATGTATTCCAACCTTTTTGAGCCACTTCTCTACCAGCTGCTTCCGCAAGCGCTCCGCTCCAGGAAAGTCCACACCTGGATGATCAAAAATAAACGAACATCATTGATATGTGCTATCATGACAGGAGAATATACCAGTACCTTTAAATGCTGTCCTTTGACGTCGATGTCCAAAATATTTTCCTGGAATGACGTGTAAGTCACCGGCTCGTTGTCTGTAATCAATTGAACTCACTATAACCGGACGAATCTATATTTATAGATAAGCACCTATGCCAAAAAAAATAGAGGAAAGACGAGTATTTTAGAGTCGCATTCTAATGCATAGTGACGCCTACGGAAAAAAGAAAATCCAGCACACTTATAAAGGGGGTCTTTCAGGGCAAGCCACCCTTTTCCAAAACGGTTTCTTGCATATTGTAGGACCCATGTAGGAACACAAAACCATGTTTCATTTTCGCTGAACGGTTTTAGCAGTACCAAAAAAGAAGCATAAGGTACTGTTAATGGTTCGATCCCCCGTGGCGACTAAATTTTGCATTTGGGTTGGCGCCTACGGGTTGGTGCCAAATCGCGCTAAATGTCAAAATCAGATGTCATATTCATCGTCAGGACCATTTTGAAGCCAAAAGTAGCCGCCAACCTTGAATGCAAAATTTAGTCGCCGCGGGGATCGAACCATCAAGAGTATTCACCACTTTTTTGGTACTACTAAAACCGTTCAGCGAAAACGAAACATGGTTTTGTGGTCCATACATGCGTCCCTACAATATGCAAGAAACCGTTTCCAAAAAGCGCGGCTTGCCCTGAAAGACCCTCCTTGTTAGGCAAGGCGTCTAACAAGGAGTCTCTCAGGGAAGTCGCGCTTTGTTTCAAGCAAATATAGCAAGTAAGTATCACTCAATTAGACACTACCAATAACTGTAGATTGCAACTGCCACACAGTTTGAGAAGCAGCTAGAACTCTTTGCAGTTTTCAGCATTCTAGTACTACACTTTCACAACTTGGAGCAGCAAATATACAACTCACTTTTGTTAGCGATTTTTCCAAAAATATGGGTTTTTCCGGAATCGCTGAGGCCAACTAGCAAGAATGTATCAGCTTTGCTTTTCAGAGACCTACAAACAAGTGCTCTTGTTATGCTTATGAAGTGGAATTGTTGAAAATTTCCGTTACCTATAGAAAAAGAAGGCAACCGTGAGGAAAACAACAAGTGCTGCCACAACAATAGCTAGAAGATTCGGTTCCGCGAACGCTGGCTTCACCACTACCTCAGGATCAACCGTTTCCATATGTTCCATCTGCTCAAAGAAACAAGTCGCTGTGATTCGGTTGATGAAAACAATTCACAAAATATTGTACAGAAACAACTTTTCGAAGAAACTGAAGTATGCAAATGAAAATTCTTTATTTTTCTTGGTACACAAAATACAATACACCAAACTTTCAAATCTAATTTTCTATGTTAAACATCTTCTTCACTCGTTTCGGAAGGTCATTTTTGCCCTTGATCCGGCGAGCTTCTTCGAACAAACAGCTCTTGCCTACTGGAAGAAACCGCATCTTCTACTAGAAATGATGTGGCCAGAAAAAAAACACTCACATGCTGGATCGTGAAATATCCCTGAAAACTTCTCTGCAGCTCTTTCCCTCACCCACACTCTTGTAGAACCAGTAATGACGCTCGCCAGCTGAACAATGACGTATCTAAAAATTTACACTTGCCCTTGCAGTTCACAGAAAAAAAGCAAATACCTAAGCAACATACTTTGACTTGGCTCCCATAGCGTTTAGATGAACACTTTATGGAGGAGGAATTCCCTTCACCGGGTCCTGTCTGTAAATGAATATGCTTTATTTGCCCTTTACTGCCCCAATCCTCAAAAACTAATCGGCTTTTTGTCGAAACTCTTCAGAGTTTCCTTTTCAACCCGTAGAACACAGGTATCACATTCATTAAGCAAGAAAACAGCTGGTACCCGCGCCACAGGTGCTGGTGCCAAGACGTCAGAACACCTTGGATCACCAAATTCGCTGAAAACTTGCTGTCAGAAGTAGTTTGACCCGCAGAACATGAAGATCACATCAGCTTGTTGCAAAGAGTATGTGGCCTGCAGCACGGGGGGTGTGGTTCACTAGGACAGAAAGCGACTTTTTCGCGTTTCGCAGCGCGAAACATTTTCGCTGCGGGAACTCGGTCCACTGATGATCAGCGGTGGACCTGAGGTTCCCGCAGCGGAAATGTTTCGCGCTGCGAAACGCGAAAAGCCGCTTTCTGTCCTAGTGAACCACACCCCAGCCTAGGCGCAGACGCAAAACTAATGCGACAGCGCCGGCGTGCACGGCCGCCAAGCGTTTCCGCGCTAGCTGGGGTCTATTCCAGTTAGGGGGGGGGAGACGTTTCTCGGCGAACTAGTGTAAATTGAACATTCCAGCTTTTCACGCATGTCAAGTGACTGCCCTCACCCCCACCCTAGACTGGCTACACTCCCTTGGCTCGGAGTTACCCTAGCTTTCTGGAATGACTGCATCATGATGCCCCCTAACTGAAATAGACAACTAATGTTGCATTTGTGTTCTACGGGTTGAAATACCCAAACAGACACCTTTCTAACCGAATCCTCAGTCATAAGCAGATTTTTGACTGAAACCCGTCTCAGTTTTTGAAGTGTAGGGCAGTCAATAGCAAATAGTGCCACTGAAAACAAGCAAACAAGAAAAAAAAACAATGAAGATACAGTGACTTACTGAGTCCTGTGACCTTGGCAACACTGGCGCCTGGTTTGTTAGTTGCCTGAAAACTCCAAGAAAAATTAATTGAGAAGCGAACACCTATCAAGACAGACATGAAATACGAATAAAGTACAAGTATACCTGATGAATGCTTTTTAGGCCCTGTTCAGAGATGTCCGCCGGCGCGAAAAAACGCACAGGCGAAAATCTCCGCCAAGATTTAGATACGCATCGACTGAGAAATTGTGAAACGCGTAAGCGAAACGTCCGGAGCAGGCGAATTTCAGTCAAGAGTTTGATATGTATCGACTGTGAGAAACGCACAGGCGGAAAATCGCGTGAGCGAAGCGTTCGTAAGTCGATGCGTATGATACTCATTTTCGTCGATCCTCCCACTTCACGATTCGCCTGTGCGTCTTCGTTCAGTCGATACATATTTCACATTGTTTCGCCTATGCGTTTTTTCGCGCAAGCGGACATCTCTGAACAGGGTGTGGTACTTAGGACAGAACGCGACTTTTTCGCTCTTCGCAACGCGACATCGCGCGGCAGGCTGGCGCACCCGTAGCGAAAACAACTACGGTATATAAGAACGCGCGATTGGAGCGCGATATTTGTGTCGGCTTTGATTGCGACAAGGAGTTTGAAGCTTAATAGCCATGGATTTGATAATGAACGAGGAAATGGTAACCAGAAGTGGACCGCTAACTAGCAGTGAAGAGGGAGGTAGGTTATTTTTGCAGAGATGGATGGTAGAGCTTCTGGAGAACCTGGAAGAGGAATGGTTGATGGACGTTTGATGAGACGACTGTAAACTTCTGCATAGGGGTTATTTGGGGCCCTGATCATGAATATGACACTCATTTTTCACATTCGTGCTGTTTAACGCATACTTTCTGCTTTACTAAGCTTTCTCACCTACAGCGCCTACGACTAAGCTTAGGGGAGGGGAGTGAAACTCCGGAGTGGGTAAACCACGCACCGTGTGGCAAAAGTTGGAGTGTGTCAGACCACAGGGGAATGGCCTACCCACTTTGGAGCCCTACACTACTCAAAGGCTTAGTCCTACTTGCGATCTAATTAGTGCGAGGGCGCAGACGAGCAGGATGCAGGCGCCGAATAGCGCTAACAACAAATCAGGACCCCGAATAACCCCTATACAAAAGTTTAAAACGAATTTAGTGGGAAACAGTTGTGGCGCCACCTGGCCCCAAATGGCGCCAGCGTCCAAAATGAGTATCATATCCGTAATGAGGACAGAAGCGTTTCGTAAAAGATGTTATACCCTTATGCAGAAGTCTATACAACAATATGAACCCACAAAATGCAAGCACAAGCGACACTATTAAACCCTCGTTCACCGATAATTCGTAAAACACCATTTTAGTGGCATCGCCCGGAATCGTGTAAGTCACAAAACGTTTTCAATAATGAGACAGAATTAGTGATTCACCGCATTTATCAATACAATGGGTGTGAGCGCGGGCAAGTAAGGAATCAGAAACTTCCAAATTCACGCATGCAAAAAAGCTGCTCCAATCGCGCGTTCTTATATACCGTAGTTGTTTTCGCTACGGGTGCGCCAGCCTGCCGCGCGATGTCGCGTTGCGAAGAGCGAAAAAGTCGCGTTCTGTCCTAAGTACCCACACCCGCAACAAGGCCTGTACACCTTGGACAACATTTGCGCGTTCTACGGAAAATGGAGTCTGCATTGCACTGACACTGTTGAGCTTGACGCCACATTACTTGCGCATTTGTCAAACTCTTGTGGGTTTAACTCTAGTTTAAGGTGAATTTTTTTCCTAGATTAAAGGAACATATGTAGTCCAAAGTCGTAGCTTTAATCACAGGAGTTGTAAGTTTGTTAAACGTGAAGGAATCTATCGCTTAGTTGGTGATCTGTCTCCTCAGGTTCCATTTCTAATGAGGAAATAAGGCGCAAGTTGCGAGATTTGGTCTTGGTGTATTGCTTGCTAGTATGTGATTATCCTCAGAGTATATATCTATAATAAACTTCACATTTATGGATAGAGTTCGAAGTATGCCGAAGAATAAATAGTTCAATTATGACAAAATCACCTGCATCTTTTGTCAGTATTGTCGTGTATAATATGGGCAAGATCTTGACTGGGAAGGTATTATTTGAATGACATTTAATGAATTATCTGGGATATGTAACCGTTCGTCTTTCAAATTGAAGCCATCCAAGGGGGACATCAAATCATATAGAAATTCGCTGGAAAAGCGCTCCTGAATGACCTGATGGTAAGTACGTATGTTATAGGCTTTCAGTTCGATCCTGACATGTACTAATGACTGAGAATGATGGACTAAGGACCTAACTAGATTCATAGCACACTGCGCGCGTACAGACCTCCATGATAGCAAATTGAGATCCAGTGACTGTAGTGCTCTATTTCTCATGAACGTTTTCAACCAGCTGGATTATGTTACGATGTCGCCTCCTGCAACCTTTGTTGCACAGACAGTCGTCCTTCAGCCCTTCAGACGAGTTCCTTTGTAATGTAATCCCTCAGACAGTGATCATACTCGGTAACATTTCTCATTCAGACTTTGCCGGGAACGAACGCAGCCTTGTTTTTGCTATGACCGTTGCTTCAGTTTCATTTTCCAATTTCATGAGACTTCTCAAACGAGGGGCTTTGGAAAGATCCTTTTCGACTTTCTTTTCCTATAACATTATTGCGGTGTGCTTAATTAAGCTCCTTTTTGAATTGTTCCGACTGCCAAGCGAACTGAATTTGCTGTACGGTATTATTTTGGCCTAAATGTCATTGCTCAGAGTAATGTCATTGATTGGAACTGAGCATGCTCTGCGGATTTTTTTCAGTCCCAGCTCTGCGGCTCCACGATTTTTCTTATCTTGTGATTAGTTGTCAATTTACTATTCACAGTATACAATTTACAACGTACTTAATATTTGTGGGTTTTCTTTTCAAAAAGTAGCTCTTCGCAAGAGTAGTGCCAATCTATGTGACCCCTGCGAATTCCCTTCCTACAAATAAATCGAAATCAAAACTGCTATTGATTTTCGTCATGGAATTTCTGGATTCCTCATCAAACTGCTAGTACCATTTCCAGAGTGCTTTTTACCTTTTTGAAGCCTATAGGTACTATTATTTCTTTATTCTCAAGGTAATGCCTTTTATTTGTATGGGTATCTTTATATGTGATGTTGAAATTCTCCCGTCTGGAAGTATATTTGTACTCAATTCCTGGCAGCCCACTGAATATTAATGCAGTCATAGAAATATCGAAAGTGCGTCGAAATATAAAACCACGAAATGCTCTGCACATGTCCAATGTTTGGCTGATGTCGCAGATCCGGGTGTGTGCTTACCTATGGAGGGGTACCTCAGTGAGTTGGCTCAGTTCCAAAAGTTTGCTGGCCAACTCTTTAAGGCCGATATCAGACTTTGTTAATCGCGCGATTCGCAAAGTCTGACATCGGCCTAATGCTGCTTGAACAAGCGGCGATCAGTGATTGAATCTGTTGATAAAGCGATCAAAACAGATGAGTTCTATGGGAACTTTCACAGAGCCGGTGCGGCTTTAGCAAGCAGCAGAACGGGTTATCTTTTTCCTCTTTTGAGACCTGGCATAGTGAGTGTCCGGGCATGGTAACATACACTGCCTTATCCTCTATTCACTCATTCATTTACTTAAAAATATGTTTTAGTCGACGAAGGTATCATTGCGCAGTAGGAATCCCGCATTCTACATGCACGGCTCGTAGTATCGAAACACGCAGGGCTTTTTTCTGGGGTCGAGTGGATTGAGCAATACAATTAGAACCACGACAAACATTCTCTATGTTCTAGCCGGTGCAGATGGAATTGTGAGTGAGGGGATGAGAATTTTGCCCAAGGGTAGGGCAGCCGCCATAGTTCACGATCTTCCGATTTTTCGTGGAGGTGGTGCGTAACGAGCGTGCGACGTGCGATCGCAGAATCACGTGGTAATGAACTTCAAGACAGTAGTTGCAAAGTATGACCACGACCCGAAGGAAGTAGCTTCGGGAGAGTTTAGTC